ATGTTCGGCCCGTATTAACCGTATATTGTGATATATATATACTTCTCTGTTCTATAAGTACTTGTTCTCGATCAATATACAAGTCCATATGCTCAGGTTCGGGGTAGGCGGGAAGATACCCTTCCGAAGCAAATTCTGTAGCTCGCCCCCCTTCTCATAGATGCTGGACGTAACCGATGCTGCTCCGCGCGTGCGAACTAAGGCTGTGAAGGAAGGGATGGTAGGATCTGGGTAGAAGTTTGCGATTGACCATTATATTGTTTATCCTAGAACTTCTACCCAGATCCTAACATCCTTTCCTTCGCAGTCTTAGTTCGCGCGCGCTGATCAGACATCGTTACTTCCTGCATCTATAAAAGGAGGCACAAGCAACAGAATTTCTTAGTGAGGGCGATCATCCCGTCTCACCGAGCCATAGCATAATCACATCAAACATAGATCGAGTCAAGTACTTATCAGAACAGAAAACTATCGCGCATGACCATACACGCTTATTCGGCCGATCCTCCCACAATTAGACAAGCCTTGGCGAGCATCACACCCGCGAGCGCCTTGCCTGATCTAGATCGTTGATAAGGTGGATCGATCATCATGGTAGCTAGGAGAATTTGTCATGACAAGCAAATAAACAACACCGAACAAAGAAGCATCTGGGTTTAAATCCGTAAAAGCATTTGGCTAGATCTGTAAGAACAGATTTCTAGATCGCTCAGACACATTCCCACGATCACTCGGCTAGAACTGTACCACGCTCGGTAGAATCTAAGTCGCTCTCAGCTAAAATCAGATTTCTCTCGGCTAGACAGAAATTCTCTAGGATAAGTTCTCTCTAGAATTCTCTTTTAACTTTCTTTCAAAGTTTGTTGGTCGCGCGAAAGGAAATAACGGGCCAGAAGCCTTTCTTAAATAGGCTTCATCGTTATCTCCTAAGAAAATCGCCCAGAAATCGTTGCCACGTTAATCCACACACTTTCTCGGCAAACCGCTCCTGCGCGTCTTTTACCTGAGATTAATTGTTCCCGCGTAAACACTTGCTCGACTAAACTTGATAACCATTCCCGCACTTTTTCCTTAGCGCGTTCATCGGATAACCGTTCCTACACATGCCCGAAGCCAACAAATGCTGTCTGATCCCAACCAACCTTATCCAAATTTTGACCATGACCCGAAAAACCCACAGCATGTTGGAATATCCAGCTAAACTTTCCAAAAATTCCCGGCCAACTGATTAAAGCTCGGATACAATTTTTTTTGGCTTGGTGAAAGTTGGACTTAGCTCAGAATCACCCGAACAAACCCAATTTTTCTCTAGCTAACTTATTTTTCTGACTTTCCTCAGTTAACCTCTTTGATTTTTCCCCTTTCTCCTTTACATAACTCATAACTTCCTTAACCAACCTTATGGCTTGGTAAGGTTTTCCCAAACACGGGTGTTATAAGTCTCCCCTACTTATGATTAGATTCCTCCTTAAATATTTGCCTTTTCTTGGCTTTTTTTTTCTTCTGCTAGGGCTGTTTCTCAAACCACTAAGAAAATTTTTCTTTCATACTTGATTCCGGTTTCAAGTTGTTTCCTCTTCCCCATCATAATCTCAAACGACCTGAATCATCTTGACCTGCTTACGGCCAACAATCTTTACTTCTGGCCTATAATCTGAACTAGTCTTCCCTATATAGACAAGTTCCCTAGCAAGTCTGGCGGAGGTTCGGATGTAACAACATCCTCATTTCTTACACACTTCCTTAGCAAGGATACATGGAACACGTTGTAGAATGCTACCAAGGCTGGTAGCAACTTCAACTTGTAGGCAACCAAAGATGGTTAGTCCAGAAGCAATTCCAACTTGTAGGCAATTCCATTAATGAATTTTTATTGGAAACATTCCTTTAATGAATTCCCTTGGAACTTCTATAGTAAACGGAATATAGAGAGTTGTGATCAATCAAATATTACAAAGTCCTAGTATCAATTACCAGTCAGAATTGGATCATAACAGGATTTCGGTCTATACTGGCACCATAATATCAGATTGGGGAGGCAGGTTAGAATTAGAGATTGATATTTACATGAGATTGCTCTTTCTTAATCTTAAGCAAGTGCCGGAGAAAGCTTAGTTGATCCATGATTTAATTATGTTTCGTCTTTTTTTTCCTTTTCATTTGTTTCGAGAAAGAGATCGATCAATTCTGATTTTTTTTTCTATTGATTCTTTTCGGATCGAGATGTATGGATCCATGGATCTATGTGTCTATATAGATCTTGTTCATGGATTAACGAAAAATGCGCAAACGCTCTATTTGCCTCTGCCATTCTATGAGTCTTTTCTTTTTTGTGTATGGCATCACCACTCCCTTTGGCAGCATCCACTAAAACACATTGTCCCGTTCTACTCGTAAACCTGTTGGACTTAGTGGAACGAGTTTGAACATAGTTATAGAGACCTTGGTCCTAGTAGGCTGGACTGTTGCGTCGTATAAAAAAATGTTTGTGTGGCAGGCCAAATGGACGCAGACCAACCCGTTTGACACCTAGTTTCCACCATCCACATCTCAAAAGAAAAAAAAAGTATATTGTTAGTTTCGGGTCTCATATACAATTTTATCATTGGGTCCAAATACAAGCCCACTTAAAACCCTAATTTTAAGTTTACTCGATGTAGAGTCACCGACATCCCTATTTATATATATACCTGGGAAAACAAAGTTTTTTTGTTTCATGAATTTAAGTGCTTGGGTTAGCATATTCTTATGTTTAAGTTGGAAGGAATTCGGGAGGTGATGATTATTTTCCTAGATGATCGAAGCTGATTTTTTTTGTCAACTAAACCTCATACATTAAATCAAGTTAACCTGCTATGGTGATTTCCTGAGAGGCCATTCTATACTGGTTCGGTCTGACTGATATGGGAAAAGATATAGCCTCGTACTCGTGCTGCTATTGCAAGGGCGTCGGCACAAACATTTTGCCTACAAGGAATTTTTCTCAACCTAAACATCACAAAATATCCTCTTAGGTCAGAAAAGTAGTCTAGCTCTGTTTGGAAAGTTGGCCAATCCTCTAGATATTCCGTCATCTTCAAAAGCTCCGCGTAATCTGTCTCAAAACATGCTCATCCATTTTTTTTTCTTAGGCATGCCATTGCCGAAATGACTCCATCTAGCTCTGCGTGTAGTGCCGAGAGGCTTCTTCAACACCCTCTATAACATGTAGTAAGTTGTCCCACGGTATCCTTTAGATTCCACCCTAGTCGACTGACCGGCCCATGATCGATCCATGAGGCACCGATTTGGCAGATCGGGATTTGGGGGTTCAAGTAGGACATTCCTTGTGTGTCTAGAGGTGGCTGGTCATCTACTACTTCCTCATTATCCTTTGGGTTTGCAATGCTCCAGTTTCTCCTCAAGCTTCGCAAGTTGGAGAGTGTCTTGCAGGGACATCTCCTTCCCGTTAAAGACTTTTTCATTCCTTGCATTCCATATATACCAGATGATCCATGGTACTTGTTTAATTGAGATTCAGATAACCCGAACTCTTTTGTTCTCCAATAAAGGAAATCCATATTTTGGTATAAGGAAATAGGAAAACCCCGGAAGGGATGGATAGTCCGATAGCATCCACACTTATAGGACTGGTGGGCATTCAAACAGTAGATGGTTTATTGTTTCTTCGGAAGCGCCACATTTTGGACATGTCTTATCTGTTCCCAAGTGGTGGAACGTAAGTTGTTATATGTGGCCACACAACCAGAAAGAGCATCCCACATAAAGTGCTTTCCACACTTGACTCCTTAGGCATGTGATGCTCGGTTTAGGTGATCTTAGTTTTACTTGCAAGGTTATATCCTGACTTTACTGTATATAGATCTGATTTTTGTGTGATTCCATGCGTATTCATCTAGGGTGAAGTGACGGCTAGGTCTCAACCCTAAAATGAAGGGGACATCTTCAGGTTAGATTAGGTCTCTGACTAGAGGTTCATTCCATTAGGACATCTTCAGGTTGAATCGAAGCTGATTTTAGGGAGCAATTTAAAGTTTCTCTCAGAGAGATTCCAAGCTAATACTCTGATCCCTATTTCCTTCCCATCTTTAATTTTTAATAATCAATTTTCATACTTATTTTCAGATGTTTTGGACCTTTTGGTTGATTAGATGGAGGTGAGGATTATTTCCCCAAATGATCGAAGCTGAACAAACTGAGAGATTGATTTCTCTTTTAGAGAAAGCCTATTTTCTGATCTATCCTTTATTATTTTTTAAAATCCATTATCGTTTTGAATTATTTTCTGTTTCTTCAAATATTTTTATGGAGATTCCCACATGAAGTTTTGAAAATACAGTTGATGTGTTTTTTTCTTCTGTTTTAGTTATTTTATTTGAAAAATTAATTCTAAAAAACAAAGAATTTTATTAATTGTCCTGAGTTATTAAATTCCTCAACCTCTTTTTATCTGATGAGCAAAAAGAAGAAAATTTGATTAAAGATTCTAACATCTTGTTAGTTGGATCGAGCTAAGAAAGACAAACTGAGTTTTTGTTTAGAATATATTTTTTGTTGTTTTAAAAAAGATCTTATCACTCCTGCCAATTACGGTACACGAGTGCAACCTTACATAATTCTCCGTAGAGGTTAGTGTACTAAACGAATAAACTTATGTATGCCATCACCACTCGTATATCATAATGTAGGTAACATAAGTTATACTTATACGACCCATTAGATATCATATTGTTGGCAACATAAGTTATACGACCCACTAGGTATCATATTGTAGGTAACATAAGTTATACGACCCATTACAATTGGCTGTGAGGAGCCGTGAATTCTGATAGCAATGAGCCAAGAGACCAACATTTGTTAGGTTGGTAACACTTACAACCATTATTACGTTTACTTAATTGTATTATCAACCAAACTGTCGAGCTACAAACCAAGCAACAACGTAATAATATTGAAACGAAGTCAGAGAAGCGTTAACTCACAAGAGATGGCTATGCTTCATCCGCGAAGCAGGGAAATTGCAAACGATATTGTGCATACCGCAAGACCAAGCATTGCTAGGAAACCAAATTTCCTACAGAACAGAGGAATCGAGTATATCAACAAGATAACTTAACGTATCAAAATTCCTTTTTCATATTGTCACAGGAATAAGTAGACATGTTATTCTAGTACTAACTTTTCAGCTAATTGCAGGTTTAATTATCCTGGTACTTGATTGCAAACTTGGAAGTGAAAGTTAAGTCAACAAAGTGGGAAAAGGACAGAAGCAAAAGAACTGAGCCATGAGAGTTAAAAGTAACTTCTTAAGCAAAATTTCAATAAGATATCAAAGAGAAACCAAGTCACTGACCATGCCACATAAAGAGAATCAACACAGGCCTATACATTCCAGACTTTAGTTATGGTTATACTATATATCATGTTTAAGACTTTTGATTTGTGTTCAGCATCACTATCAATGTTGGATAATGTGGGAACACATCTTATGCTACCTCATAACTTGTTGAAAAATGAAAAGGAAGAGGAAGAACAAACCCGATGGTGAGGCGTTTCTTAGGATCTCCAGTGGAATAGCCTTTGAAGTAGAAGAATCGGGAAACGTTGTAGAGCAAGCCAAGGCCTGTACAGATGCAAGGGTGCTTCATACCACCAAGGATCATGAGTAAAAAATACATTGGCATCATCTCTAGAGAGTTTTGATGACCTCTCTGCAACCACCAAGTTTGTTTTTCCGATTAGAGCTCAAATCTAGAAACTGAGAGGGAAAATGATTTCAGATAGAATCTAAAGGGAAAATTTCTGAGACCTGAACGCAATTGAAGAGCTTAGCATCTTTGTTTTCTGACTCAATCGCATAGAGTGTTGGATAAGGAACTTTGTACCTGCATTTTTACATCTCTCTATCATCAAAATCGAATCCAGTTCCCAAATGTCAGAAAAAAAAACCACAATCTCTGGAATATAATTCGATCATGAAAACAAAAGAAACCGATCTGGATCGATCTAATCGAACTTGAAAGAGAAAGAGATAAACACTAATTTGAAATTCGGCTAACACTTGCTTCTTCGACATTCCTCCATGTCGACATATCTCTCTATCGTCAAAAATCGAATCCAGTTTCTGCGATTTCCGAAATACAATTCGATCATACGCACGAGTAACGAAAGAAACCCGATCAAATCGAATACGGAAATTTAGAACTAATTAACTAATTTTGAAATTACGCGACGACGAACAACTCTAAGCAAAATTAATATGGAGGGAATTCGAAGCCAAATCAAACGAGAATAAAAAGCCAAAAACAAGAGGATAAAGGTTATGGAAACCTCTTGCGAGCTCCGCCGACTTGGAAACCCATCCAGAGATTGAGGAAACAGTAGAAGACGACGACGATGATGACATATCCGTACTCGTTAGGCAAAACTTCCGCAATCGCCATTGATGCTACTCTCTTTTTTCTTTTTTCTTTTTCTGATGAAGAAACTGAGATGTCGTAAAATACTCCTCTCTGTTGAGAAGAAGGACTAGTCAACGAAGAACGCGGTACCGTATTACAGTGTCAACAACCCAAGCTAAAAGTCAAAGCTAACTTCCGCCAAAATAGTGAGATCCGGTTGGAGTTTGATTTCGGTTCAATTTTTATTTAGCTTTTTTGGTTTTATCATATGACCAGATAAAATTATAAGTAAATGTGGTAGATGACCACATTACTATTCAAAATTAGCTATAAAGGAACTATTTGAACACTGTACAATTTTATTTAATACATGTTTACCCTTATCCCCTCTACTCATGTCTATTATATCACCGTAAAACAGCTTTCATTTTCTCTTTTGTTTAACTCTTTCGATTTCTGCTGCTTTCATCTTCTAATTTGTCTTTTATTTTCTCTTTTGTTTCCTATAAAAAAAAACAGTTTTCTTCTTCTTCAATGTCACCGTAAAACAGCTCTCTTCTTCTTCTTTAATGACACTGAAGATAATTTACAGTTTTGAAGGTTGCTGCTTCAAGCTCCAGTAAATTTTTATTTCTTTTAACTTTCTGGTCAAATTTTACAGACAATATGATGAAATCGCTTTTGGGTATTCTCTGTTTCTTTATCTTTCTTTGTCTTTTTACTGAGTTTCTTCTGGTTTGATTTTGATTTTCAGAGGAGAACTAATTATAGTTGCTGATTTTATCTAATTTAGAGTTATTTTAGTTTCGTATCTTAGCTAAAATTATGTATATGCTGATGTAAATTAGAAATTATGTTTCTTCTCTAAAATTCTGGATCTGAGATTGGGAAAGAGATTTTTGAAGGCGGAGATCTCGATGAACATTGGAAAGAGATTGTTGAACATTGTTAATTATTTTTTTAGTGTAATACATAAGCTCTTAATATGTTAAATTTATTTGTATCGCTTTAAATAAATTATTATCAGACCTTCAAAATAATATGGATAGCTGCTAATGTCTAATCTCTAAAATATAGATAGCTGCCAACAACATAGTTCTAGTTAAGTATTAATGTATTCACAAAACATAACATATAACATGTTAGCGAATACAAATATTATGTTAGAGATGATAAATAAATTGTTAGCGGATAAAAATAAGATATTAGAAATGATAAATAAATTATTAGCAAATACAAATTTAGTGTTAGCAAGATAACATAATTTTTACTAATATAAATTTATTGTTAGCAAGATAACATATTCTTTACCATACTAACAAAATATATAGCATGATAACAAGTTATGTAATTGTATAACTTATATGCTAACAAAATAAAAATGATGAGAGAGAAACTTAATATGGGAAAAAAAATCATAATAAAAAGCGGAGGGTAAAGGATAATAACACTCTGAATAGTGAATAGTAATTTGATAATAAACATTTTATTTTTTAGAAAACAGAAACTTATCACACTAACAAAATATGTAATTTGCTAACAAGTTATGTAACTAAATAACTTATATTTTAACTAGAATGAGAGAGAATAATATCTCGTAAAAAATAATGTTAGTAAATAATAAAAAAACAGCGGAGGAGTATATGGTATAATTGGCATACCGACCAAACACGGTAGATATAACATTATGTCTTGTCATTCCTATTTTATATATAAAAGATGACCAACTCTCTCCATATATGGAGTGACACATCATCATTTTAAATTGATATGAAGATGACATGTGTCACTTTTATAATTTAAAGTTATAATTTATTTTAAAAAAAAATTTAATATCAAGTTTTAAAACACTCAAAGAATATGAACAGTTTTTTCATTAATTGATTGATATTGATTGATATTTATTGTAATTTTATATAATTCTTAACTTTTTATAATATTATATTTTAAATTGATTTTTAATTCTTTTGGATAAATTTTTTAAAATTATTTATAATAACATACTAATATACATCTCAAATAATGATTATATTTATTTTTACATTTATGATATTGCATTTTAAACTAATTTTTAAGATTGTTTTTTATATATATAAATTTTTTAAATTGTTTATAATAATATACTAACACACATAACAAAAAATAATTATATTTTTTTATATAAGATTTGAAAATAGTTAAAAAGAAAAACCCGCATGTGCGGATATTCACCTAGTTTAGCTAATTTGACTAGTTTTTGGTATTTACTCTAAAATTATTTGTATTTTGGTTTAGAAATTTATCTGGTTTGATCAGAACAATTCGGTTTGGATGAGATTCTTTTATTTATTTGTGATTTAAAATATATAAAAAAGACTAATTGATTTATACACAAAATGTAGTCATATAAATTCAAAAATTTCAGATTACTTCTGATTTTTAATGATAATTAAGGAAATCAATTTCAGATAACATCTAATTTTATTGAAGATTAAAAAAAAACAAAATTTCAGATTAAACATTTTGAATTTAGTTTGGCCTTATTCTGGTACGGATCATTTGGGAATTTAATTTGGTTTTACTGTATAACGAATATGCGGAATTCTAACATCCTCGTAAATCAAATTTCAAACTTTAACAAGAAACCGAATTCAGAATAACCCCTAACCGGAGAAATTAAAACATAGTTGATGTTGAAAAAAAATTGAAAACCAAAATACCATAGAAATCGGAACTTCCAGAACAGAGTTTCATAAGATAAAAGAAAATAAAACAGATATAAATAAGATAAAACCAATCTACCAAACATTTCTTCTCGCACTCCTCCCAATCGATAGAGATCCAAAACTCGAAGATACATCTTCGATCAAAGCACCATTCATAGCATCTCTAAGACTCCTCTCATCAACAGCATCGAAGAAGCAGCCACGTGTCCTCGCTTCACTTATCAGGTTAGCCCAAATCGAACCACTCAAAGCCAAAGTCGTCTCGTTCCCAACCACCCATAAACAGTGCCTCGCTCGAGTGAGTGCAACGTTGGCTCTTTGACGGTTACTGAGAAACCCAACGTTACCGTTACCGTTACTTCTAACGGTGGAGATGATGATAATATCTTCTTCTCCTCCTTGAAACCCATCCACAGACCGAACATTCAAAGTGAAAAGACTTGATAAGGAACTGTACTTATCTCGGATCTTTTCTTGGATCGCTTTTACTTGCCCCTTGTATGGTGAAACCACCCCAACACTCATCGTCATCCTTCTTTCTCTTGAAACTGTTTCAAAATCAATTAACCAAAATTAATCAAAAAAGATCGAATGTAGAATAACTTGCGAATCAAGAAAGGTTATACCTTTGAAAAGATTCGATATGATCTCAGAAATTACAGCAACTTCCACCAGATTCTTAGGACTATGACCATCACTAAAGTCTTCATTCCCACGACCAACATTTATGAATGAGAAAGAACCAAACATGTTTCCTTGAAGATACCTCTTTTGATAAATGCTTTCTTTAACAATCTCAGCATCTGTGATTCTCCCACCATAAAACTCCTTGTTTGGGAAACGGCTTATAGACGGATGCATTCGATATTGAACATTAAGCAAGTGTTTTTGATGACCAAGCAGTACCAACCTCTCAAACAAGCTTCTTCCAAATTTCGCCTTTTCACATTCATCGTTATGAACCATTGCAGGTAACTGATATTCATCTCCTATAAGAACAGCATGACGCAAACCAGGAAGCTGCAACGCAGCAACCGATTCACATTCTTTAAGCTGAGCTGCCTCGTCAATCACAAGAAGCTCTATAATCCCTGTTCTTGCCGCACTCATCTCAGCAGCACCTGAGGCTGTGCAGAAAATTATATGCGCGTTTTGCAGACAAAACTTCCTAACATCTTCGTTTTCCAACAAGTCTGGAATCTCAAAACGTTTTGGAAGTAAACGTAGAGCCTTAAGGCAGTCAAAATTGATGAGTCTGTTGAAGCAATCAAATTGGAAAGTTCCCTTCATCAAATCATAAGATTTCTCCTGCAAGAAATATCTGACACGCTGAAGAGCTTCACGGGCTGCAATCATTTTCTCCACATCTTGAGATAAGACAAAAGACTTTGGAAGATGTGTCTGCAAATCAACCATATCTATCTCCAGTTCTTCACTTAAACCATTGAAATATTTCCTTACAAACTCTCCATATGTAAGAACGTTTACAACTTCTTCCTCCTCAAATTGATCTTCGTCCTCGAACTGAACATAATCATTGTACTTAGCCTCCGTGTCCTCAAGAAAATTTATGAGCGACTCTAACCTCGCTGTCCATCCAGAAAATGGTGAAAAGAGGTTTTCAAGTTTACCTATGCGATGGTCAAGAAACACATCGAGAAGAACATGATCATTCTTGGTAATCCCCATTCTCTCGCGGTTTCCAGATAGAACAATGTTCCCCAGCCTGTAAGTAGCATGTTCTGATGAAGAGCTTTCCTTGAATAAGGACAAGAGCCTAGATGCAACTTGTACAATTGCTGTGTTTGTAGGAGCACAAACGACAGTTTTGCAATTGAGCTTGAGAAGAGCAAAGAGAAGCGTCGCAACTGTCTTCGTTTTGCCAGTTCCAGGAGGTCCCCATATCAGTTTCACACTGTTCTTGTGATTACAGGTCCTTGTCTGAAGGCAACGCAAGATTGCATCTGCTTGTGAACAGTTCAATTTTGCTGAACGGACTATATCCAAACCATGGTCAGAAAACTCAACAGAATTTCCATAGCAAAAACATTGTTCTGCAGCCTGCAACACAAGCAAAACCACATTTTACTCAAGAGATGCACAATGTAAGCTCTGTTTTGATACAACAGAGAGAAAAAAAGTATGATAAATCTGTCCTACACAGAGAAGATAATTTATTAAGACTTACCAGAGTATTTGCTTGCAGAACACTCTGGATTAGTGTCATGTCTGCAGCTTCATTGTGCAACGCGTTCCAAATTCGAGTGTTTGTAGTTAAACCCATGAGAAGAACACCACAACCAAATGGATATCCCGCATGATTTTGTATCGATCTAGACGAATGAACAGAGATTATTAGATCACCATCAACCTTGAATACGTAGGCGAGAAGTAAGGGCTTCAAATCGTCGATTCGTCTTGGCCTTTCCTTTGTGAGAGCAATAAGATCTCCACACTTTGGCTGGTACTTTGAACTGTATTCGGTAGCCATTAGGGTTATATCGTAAAGCAAATTGTTTGATGAGCTTCCACTTGATTCTTTAACACTCCTTGTCACTATCGAGCGTATTTGGAAAAAGGGAGATCTAGATATAGATTTGACGCTCGATGACAACTCGGTTCGCGTTTCCTCCAGTAGATGAGGAACAAAACAGTTGAAGTATTGATCGGTGGAAACAAATCTGTCTGGTATTGTCTTTCTCTGTTACAAAAAATATACCATTGATGAGGAATATTATTTACAAGTTACCAACATAAAAGCTACTGAAGATAGAGATCAACGAGGTAAGAACCTGTCGCTTGTATAGATCTTTGTTGAGAATATCTTGGACAGACCAAGAGAAGACTTTATTGAACAGAGTTGTTTTCTCGTTGTTTTCCATGATCCTTCGTCTTTCTATAAGATTGTTCATCAAAGCAAAGACGATCGTTTACAAGGCAAGCAAATAGAATGAGAGTATTAAGCAAATCTTTTAGAGGAGTGGTCGCAGAAGAAATTAAGAGTGACAAAGAAGAATAAACTCACGCTCTCAGTTTGGTCTACTTTAAAGGAAGAAGAAGTAGAAAGGTCCAAACAGAGAAGAAGGAGAAAGGTCCAAACAGACTTTGGAAATGATCTCAAAATATTCAACATTTTCCAAGAAAGTCTTGTTTAATTAGTGGGATTCAATTTTCTTTTTAATTCATCCATATTTAAAAATGCAGTGATTAATGAACGGAAGATGACACATCGCATGTGTCAAGTCTACATACAGAGCTTTTTAAATCAAATCATTACTAGGTTTTGTAAGTGCTGTATTAAAAAGAGATTTATCCAACTGTAATTTGCATTTTGGAAATCGCATGGCCGCATGGGGAAGAAGAAAGGTCGCGATATTAAGAACAATTAAAGCATTGATATCATTGATTAAGAAAAAAAAGGGCCATTGATATCAAATTATCACAGTTGTTGTTGAAGTTATGTTAATGAACATCACAGTTGTTAAAAAAAATATTTTCATGTGACGTAAAAAAAAAAAATAGAAATTCTTTACGGACCTTTCACCTTCGTCTTGCATAGACTAATAGACCAAACAAAAAAAATACATAAAGATTCTCCAAACTTGTCGCCGCACTCTCTGTTTGTCATATCCTGCAACTTCATTTCTTGCCTAGCACTCTATATTCTTCCTTGTAAGATAAGTTTTAAAGAGAAACCTTAGGTCTCCCTTGTCGTCAGAATCTCCATTCGACGGAGGCCAAAGAGAAACCCTAGTTCTCCCCTCTCCTTGTTGAACTGAATCAGAAAAAAAAACCCTCTAAGAACACCGTAGAATTGGGAATATAGATGGTGAAAACCGAAGAGAAAACTGAGAAGTATCCTTGCGTGGATAGCTCCGATGTCGTCTTAGATAGGACGTTCAAGAGAACTCTTCTTTGTGTTGCGAAACCATCTTACCTTCTTGGTCTTCTTGGCCCAAAAACTAGCCGAAGCGAGTACCTCAAACGATTGCCAAAGATCCTCCGTGAGCTAATCAGCAATAGAAACTGGAGAGATGCAAGCAGAGTACTTAGCGTTCTGATGCAAGGGACAATGAGAGATGGTTCCCCAACAATGAATCGGCTCAAATACGAGGTTTGGTTCTTCTTTTTAACCCAAAGATGCTTTGCTTGTTTTTTTTGTCTGTTTCTTGTTGTTCCCTTTTTCTGAGTTTGTGTCTTTGCAGGCTCAAATACAAATCCTGAGTCACTTGCAACCTTTCAAAAACAACGCCGATGAGATTGGAAAAATATATGATACTTGGATCGGGAAGATTGGTAAACAGCATAAAGAGGTCTCTTTTTAGATCAGAACATACATAAGTAGTTAGTGGACAATATATTGTTCTAAGGCCCGACACTAACATTGAGTTACCTGGTCATTTGGACAGGAGAGGCTCTTGGTTTGGTTCGAACAAATTTGCCATTTTATCGAGCATGGGATGGATGATGTGGCGAAGAGTGCTGTAATCAGGTACAGTTGATATCTTATGAGCTAGTTCTTTCAAGCTTTGTCATTATTTCTATAGCTTGGTACTGATAGTTACCCTGTTTTTCAATGCACATGTTATCTTATAACTAACTGCATGCGTATATTGATTGTTTGTATGTTTAGCTTATTATCCCGAGATGGTCTGCTACGGTTCTTGCTTGAATGAATTTTGTTGATTTATCATCTTCTTTTGGCAGCATGATGCAGTGCCGTGATTTGGCAATGCTACCACGGACCAATCTATTTATAGGAACCACATTCTACAGATTGTGGTGTCGTAAATTCGTGGCAGAGTTACAGCCTGCAGATGCAGACTGCAGCGAAAGCACATCTAATATGTCGGAAACAAGATCTGAGACTTCTGATTCTTCAGGCAATGGTTCTGCTAAAAACGAGTCAGAGTCTTCGGTCGTGAATTATACAAGAACTTCCCATATCTCCATCAGTGATGTGAAGGTTAAGAGTCCTCAGCATTTTACCAATCCACCACCACTCTATGAAACCTCTGAAGAAAACGAAGACTCTTTGCTAGATGGAGTTGAATTTGATCCTGCTCTTATTAGAATTCTTGGTTAGTACGTTAGAATTTTCTTTAGCTTGTATGATGCGTTATGCTATAACCTACAACCAGTTCTGTTGATTTCATGGCTTCTTTTTTTTTTTTTTGTTAGAGGACATGGATCCATGGTTGCTTCCTTTGACACCTCCAGAAGATCCTGATTGCTATAGAAAGGTGGTCAATGATTCTTATTATAAGGAAGCAGTGACATATTTGCGGCGTACTATGCAGTCTCCCCATCATGTATCTTTAGCTGCATTACATCCACTTGTACAGGTAAAAACTCATATAACCATTTTTGCCTATGTGACTCATAATTTCATAATCTTCGTCCCTTAAATCTTTAATGTCCCACACTGATTAGATTTTTTTTTTTTTTTTCACTCTCTTCTCTTGAATTCCCTTCTAGCTACTGTTAATTGGGGGACATGTAGATGAAGCGATGAAAGTGGTCGAGGAGATGTGCAACAAAGTACATGACATCAAACCTTTCAGGTACAAAAAGATCTCTCTCAGTCTCTACTAAATTAGTATTTGCGCCTGCCTTGGAAAGTTAGAATATGGAAACAGAGGAATTTCTAAAGTGGAGTTTTGGTGCTTTTGCTCATTTGTAGGATTAAGGCGGCTATGACGGAGAAGTTTCATTCTAAGAGCAACATGCTCGCAAAATGCTACGAAGATATCTTAAATATTGATCCTAATTGTGTAACTACCCTGAAGAAGCTTATTGGAATGTGCCTACAAGGTTTTTTAGGATCAAGCCATCCATATACCTTTTAGTCTTAAGATCTTGAATCATGCCTAATTCTGTTTTGTGTTAATTACTTGCAGATGAGTATAGTAAAGAGTCCTTGTAGAAATGATAGCATTGCATGTAGAAGCTTCTTTTCCCGAGCCAGATATCTGGAAAGAGTTTGCCTCTTGCTTGCGTCTCCTCTTGGAGAATCTTGATGAAGACCGTATGTCATCATGCCTTAACGGATTTGGAGAAGAAAGAAATCAACAAACCTACTCTGTTCGATACAATCCGATACCTAGAATGTTCACCAATACATTATGGACACTTCGGGCTAAGTGGTGGCTACACCGCCATTTCTCCCCGGAAATACTCGAGACAGAAAGTAAAAAGTTTGAAAAGCTCGAGGCAGAAGAAAAAAACGGTATATCTTTATATTCAGCATTGCAGCAGAATATCTTACCCTGTTTTTTCAGATAATTTTCGTGTTTTTATCTTATTATATGATCTTGACAGGAGGTTTAAAGATGATGAGATTGATGAGTTACAAAGCGGCATGTGCAAGTCATATCTACGGACCAGAGTTTGATTACGTTACAATAGTGTACGGTCTGTTGGAGAATAAAGGCTACAACAACATAGAATTGTTAAACTTCTTGCGAACACACAGACGGAATTATAATAATTTATACAGAGTATAAAATAGACCAATATTTGGTTTTTACTGTAATTTATTGTTCATACTTGTACGCTTATCAGAATATGAATATGAATATATATATATATATATATATATATAAGAAGATATAGGTTACATCTTTAGAGAGCTATCAACATAAAATGGGTTTTCGGTCTTGTTTTCATGTACCAATTTTTCGATTATGTAACAATTTTTTGGCTTGTTCTCTGTTACAATGGTGAGGAAAGCTCTTTGCAGGTAATGGAAATTGGAAAGGAAGGAGAGAACTACTCTAGTCTCTGTCGATAGTCATCCATATATCTCTGTTCTTTTGTCAATATTTATGTACCATGATGAGTTAAAGTCACTTGGTTTCGGTGTTTTTCTCATGAATCCAACTAGAAACAATCGTATATGGAATGCAGTTTGCACCATTAAGCTCCCAAATTCGATCTCATCCAGAGTGTTCTTCAGCCAAATACTGCAGTTTGTATATAAGAAATGGTCTTGACTTTGTTGACTCAAAGTGATTCATTTTAAAACTATTCAAGTTTATATTCTCTTAATAATATCTATAAAGTCTAGCTCCAATGTAACCCTATAATTAAGTGATGGATCCTCTAGAAAGTTTTAGCTTTCAGTTATGTTGCTTAGAGTAATAGTGGACATCTTGTATTTAAGGATTTGGAGCAATCTGTTTCTACGAATTGAGAATAAAATTGAAAGTTTGGCAACACTTACAAAAATGTTTTGGATATAATCCATTCAACGAAGCTTAATTTGGAGAGTTTGTTAGAAAGAAGTTTGATGGCTTTGAGGTGAATATGATGGACTTGTACACCAGTGGCAGAGCCAGAAATTTTTTTCATTGGAGGCAAATAAGAGTATATATAATTTTAGAAGTGCGGGCATTGATATTTGGCTTTAATAAACTACACCAAAATTTTAAAATCAATGGGGGCGAATGACCCTATGTTAGACAAAGTGGCTCCGCCACAGTTGTACACACATCTGCCAAAATCTTTCAAATATATCATGCAACATCCATATTGATTTGAAAGTATATTAATCTGTTTCATTGTTCTTTTTGATTAATTTTGCTCAGTTTTGAAACAGTTACAAGAGAGAGAAGGATGAAGATGACCGTTGAAGTAGTTTTATCAAGAAACCTTAGATGTTGTAAATAGGTTTTCTTATTGCTCAAGTTATGAAGGCAGTGCCTTATATACAAGTTACATAAGTACAATAATATACAAATCATCGATGTGGGTGAAGGCAGGCTTACATCGGCCCAATACCCTCTCCCCCCTCAAGGTGGCGTGTGGAGGTTACGAACACCCAACTTGTCAAGAAACGCATCAAACTCCTTATGTCTCAAAGCTTTAGTCATGATATCGGCAA